AACGTCAAGATATGATGATCCAGTTCGGTGAACAACAACACCTACATCTGGGGGCTACCAAGTCAGGAATGAATTCACTATGAGTAGTATTAAATCCAGAGCTAAACAAACTCCGACTTACAACTCCTCACTTAATCTTTACCCAATTCAACTTCTATCTAGAAATCACCATCTAGATAAGAGAAACCCATATCAATTCCTTAATCACCTCAATGACATCTAATAGTCACAACCTCTGGTGATTGTATCAAACTGTTCAATTGAAAGATATTCCTCTCAATACAATATTCACTCAAGACTCTTGAATAACAATAATGCTTGAATTTGCTTAATAGCTTCACCCAAGAACAATATACAATTCATTACCTACAGGTTTCTAAATATGTAAAACTATGTCGACCACAATGTATCAACTGATACAAAGGGTGACTTACAACACAAGAAAATACACGACTCTCAAAATCCTAAAACCTTATAATTAAATTACAAGCATTTGTTACAAGGTCTACTGCCATTGCCCTAGGTCTTAGTATTTCTTTTATAGCCTTCAGCAGTCAATGAGCTTCGAAGTCTCAGTCCAATATTTCCTTGATCTACGTTCTTATTGCACCTTAAATCTTGTAACAGATCTGCAACAAACCTGCTACATCAGACCAAAATGTCGAGTCCTCATGCTAGGACATCTTGTCTGACATGTTGTTCTTTATAAATTTATTCTTGTTGGAACATTTTGTGCAGCATCATGTTTTACCAAAATTTGTTCAAATCTTGGTCTTCAGTAACTTCCTTTTGCAGTTGATCTGACTCGTTGCTCACCTTTGCCTATATACATGGGTTGTTGAGTGCATAGAAATTTTTTTGCAATTTTTTCAAATCATTCTTACCTTCACAAGCGTTTCATATTAGCAGGTGCTTTCCTCTCTTCCTCCTGAAAGTATTTACCAAAATAGTTGCAACTCTTCGCATAAAACTTCTACCTTTCTACATTGCATTTGCTTCACCAATTTTGCTTTTCCAGACACTTTTCTCGCCTCAAAATTTTACCTTTAGCATTTTATGTTCTTTAGTCTAGATGAGTGATAGTCCTATTCGCATAGCTAGCGATTTTGTTCTTTGGTCCTAATTGATTTCTTCACTAGGTAAGGGTTTCTTATCCTGACTTCCTTGAAGTCAGTATTAGCATATTCTTGCATGATATTTTCTCTTGATGCATTCAGGGGAGTGTACGATGGGAATCTAGCCCTCGGCCCTTGATCTCCAATATCTTGATGGCATTTATGGTCTCTCTGATGCCCAAACATTTCTTGGGGTCCCTAACCCTTGGCCTTTCTCTACCACTTTGTCCTTGAGTTCTTATCCATAGTTGATGTAGGGTAGACCCTAGTTAAGAGATCATTTAAGCTTTCGACTCCTTTTAGCCCTAGCTTCTTGCAGAACATGCAATCCATCCTCAATCCCATCTTAAATTTCAAATACTTCAACCTGTCATTCGTCCCTTTGACTTTTACCACCACCATGGTGAACCAGTCTATGTATTCTTATATAGTTTTCTTCTTCTTTTGTTAGATCCCACTGAGTACGACTATTATAGTGGGTTATCGCTTTCAGTGAGTGAATAAGATGTTAAAGGATTCATAGAGTTCATCCTAGGAATTTATGCAACAGTCGAGAAGAGTCTTGAACTACATATGGAGGCTCCTTTGAGAGTCAACATGAATAACTTTCATTTCACAACTCCATGGGCATGGGTATGGTAGTTTTCAAACCTGGTGTCTACGTGATCAATATGCTCATATGAATTTATGGTGTTATTATATATATCCAATTTTTGAGGTTTCTAAAGAGACTTTATGATCATAATGTCGATAATGAACCTAGAGAACGGTTTCCCCATCTGTTGAGGAACATGTATTTCGGTTTTTCACTTATATCCTATTTGGGAGTGGTGTGATCGTGAACGGCGGGGACAGTGATTCACTATTGGAGTGTGATTTCCACCCCTTCCTCCGAAATCATGCGGAGGAGCCTGATGTTCTCGATACGATACAATCTAGTGATTTATGGGTCACTCTGCATGGAGAAATAGTGGTGCAACTCTCTGGTTGCCACATGAAGTTGCTTATTGTACTGAGTGGTCCTTGGGATGAGCTTGCTATATATTCTCTTTGATTAGGAGTATCCTTTCAACTAAGAAGTGTGAGTTTTGTTATCGTACCAAGTTGTAAACATTGTTAACTAGATCATTCGCCCATTGCAGTCCTAATAGTTTGCAATTATTGAAGGCTTTAAAACATCTATTCTTCAAGAATCCATGGTTGTGGTAGAGGTTGCTTTGAGGTTTGACCTTGAAGCAAATGTTAGGAAAACTCAAAGGTTTGGGGAACTTTGAATGTGCTCAAGCCGGTTGTGGATGAATATGATTCAAAAGGGGGAACAGAAGGTGAAGTAAATAGGATTGGACCGTCCTTGACCGTTGGAGGCATTGAAGCCTCCCTCACGAGATTAGGACTCTTGATTGTAGTCGCGACAACAAAGTTGCGTTGGACAACTAATCAAGTAGATTTTGATATTGCTATAACTTTCACAAAATTGATCAGACGTTTTGATAGGAAGACGATTGGGGTTGTCGAATTGCCTGAAAAAAACTGTGGTTTTATGAAGATTCAAGAGAATTAGATGTCGATTCTCACATATGACATCAATGTTCTGTGGTGGAACCCAAGAAAAGTTATGAGATCTTATGTGGTGGTGAGTGTTTTTTATACGATGGAGCAGGAATGACCTGCAAGGTTAGCATTTCAACACCCATATTTGTGAAATGTTCAAAAAGCAGTTTAGAGTGAGAATGAAAGTCATAACTAAAATTGGTGTGTATGAAGTTTATATAGGGCGAGCGGTTAAAATCGCTCCTATCTAACTCGACATATTATGTGGATCATTGTTCAACCATATTTTATGACTTAAGTCGAAGGCTGAAATTGGATGCTCCATATTTGACTAAGGTTTCACATGTTTCACATTTATTGTCCGAGTCTTTCATAATATACTTCATAATTAAACATTTTTTAATGAACCTTGTGAACGATCCAGAAGAATCACGTCTCAAAATACCTAATCAACAATCTATTGAAGTAACTATGTAATAGATTAATAATTTAAAATAATTAATAAAATTATCCAGAACATCCATTTGACTTAAATTGAATTACTCAATTTGCTTAAATTCCTTTCAAAGTTATGGAATTGGAATTTTTCAAAACATTTTTAATAATAAAAAAAATGTAATTGCTTATCAGAGTCGGCCGGCCGGCCTTGAGTCCGAGCAACCAGACCCAAAGTCTAGAGCCTTCAAAAACAGGGTCTCAAAATTTTTTTTTAATAAATTATAAATCTAAAATAAATATATAAATATTAATTATTCAACTTAATATATAATATAAATTAGTTAGTGTAGTGATAAATGAGTTTATTTTTGACTCAATGGCCAATGATTCTATCTTTGGTGCCTACACTTTTAACTATTAAATAAAATAAAAAACTCAAATATAATATTATTTATTTAACTGGAACCAATTTTTAAAATTGGCATAGGCCAAATTGTAGGGACGAACCCTTATACTATTCCAATAGAGGAAAATTACACGTTAACATTACACGAAACTCCCTGCTACTAAATATGAATTAACCTCCTTTAAATTTATATATATTAATATAATTTTTTAATAAAAAATAAAAATCATAGGTGAGCAGTTAAAATCACTTCCATCGGGCAGAAGCAACACGTCTTCCACACGTTCTCCACGTGCCCTTTCCGCGAGGACACGTCATCAGCCAACTACCCACCTTCGAAAGAGCTGATCAGCCCACCTTTCAGAGATTACGAGATGGCTGAACTAGGGCGAAGACCACGTGCCAGTCTTCACTACGTCATGTAAGCCCTAACAGTCACCTGAGTTGAACCTGACAATCTAGCCCAACACAAATGACTGTTGACCCTACGCAGGGGTCTCTCTATAAATACCCTCTTAGTGAATGTCAGGTATTCAATTCTCTATCTCTCTTCGATATTTGCTTCCACTCTGATCCACTACTTACTTTGACATCTGAGTGTCTTGCAGGTACACCCTCTCCTTCTCCCTACCTCCGAGTGAATTTTCGAAATTGTTGCATTAACACAAACTTACAAATCATGTTTGGAAAAACAAAACAAAAAAATTCTTTCATATTCGAATCCAATGAATTGTATTACTTTTCTAATGAGAAAGCTTATTATGAATCTATTTAATTAAATAAAATCTTACATCTGATTTTCAAATCAACTTAATCATATAACAATCCAATCACTCTTCATTTATTTTTAAAATTATTTTATAGTTAGTTTTATTAAGAAAAAACAGCCGCTCTCTCCTCCACTCCAAATCCTCCCTGAAGTCCACAAACCCTCTGCGGACTTTGCACAATAGCTAACTATAAAGGAGCTGTGTCAACATCAAAATCAATGACAGCATAAAATCCATTTTCATCAAATCTCCACAATCATAATACCCTCTCACCTGCACAATTTGTTCACCTAAACTCATTTGTACTTTCTTAATTCCCAAAGTTCAAACTTGCTGTTATTTATTGTTTCAGAATTCCTAAAGTTCAAACTTGCTGATATTTATTGTTTAACTATTATTACATTTGTGTTTCTTTCAACAACAAATTATTAACTACTACATTAGTCTAAGCCTATGTTGGATACATCCATTGGCTGTGATTTTTCATAACCTACAAACTGTAACTTTGAATTTGAAGGGTGTCCAAAATCGACCTAAAACAAACATGGAATAAGAATGCGGAAGCCATTAGTAACCAAGGTCCCAAAAATTTATCATTACAGGATCCTATGTTCAATAACATTTATAAGGCTATAGGAATTCAACCCATGTCAATGCATCCATCAATCCATAGCTTTTCCAATTTCCCTTCATCTTACCACCCCCAACAAGAAAAGTAAGTTAGACTGTTGCAGTTGCAGGCTCTCGGAGCTTACTCTCGAGATTAGACGCCACAGCATCAATAAATTCCTCAGTGTTCAAGTAAAATTCCCTCGATACCCTGCACACAACCCAATATCAAAACAGTTAGACATACAAATTACTTGCAAATATTTTGACTCCGACATTGACTACAGCAAACCCTCTTCACAAGTGTAATAACAGGCTAAAGAAGACCGTTATAATTATATATATAGGTTAATGACTAAAACACATGCTTAAGTAGACATACCACAAACCAGTTAAATTAGACTATAAACACAAGTATATGAAATCAGAAGGGACGCAAAGTTAAATTAAGCATTTCATCAAATAATAAAATCTTAAAATAAATAGTTGCTTTGATGCAGGACACAAGAATTAAATTAAAACTTGAAATACGAAGTTCAGAAGATGTTTGCAATACCAAAATATTCAAATGAGTAAAACACAGTTGGGAAGGAGATTCACTTACTTAGGCCCGTGAATCAGAAGGGCAAGATCTTTGGTCATCTTTCCTGACTCTACTGTCTCAACACATGCAGCCTCCAACTTCTTAGCAAAATCCAGTAATTTTTCATTATTATCCAGCTTGGCTCTGGTACGTAAGAACAGATTCATATCAATAAGACAATAAGAAAAAGGAACAAAAAGGAAGGTAGTCCAATTACATTAATCTATATCAACCTCGACAGAGTATGGAAGCAATACTGTCTGCAACTGACTAGGGAAGAAAACAAAAGAACATCAAAATGCACAAGAATTTGAAACAAGCAACAGTACCTATGTTCCAGTCCTCGTGTCCATGCAAATATGGAAGCAATACTGTTTGTACTGGTTTCTTGTCCCTTTTGATGAAACCGGAAATGCCGAGTTACAGTTCCATGAGCTGCCTCGGCTTCTAATGTCTTGCCATCAGAAGATAACTGCAATATTTTGTTGCAAGCATAACATAAGACATCCAAAAATAAAAAATAAATAGAGATAACGATGTTGATGAAAAATATTGTAGTAAGAATAAGAATCTAACACATACCAGCACAGAAGTCATGAGGCCCAATGAGCCGAATCCTGCACATTCAGATTGATTCATTACACAAATTTCAAATGCTTTCTTTTGCATTTCACAAATACATTCAACTAATGAAAATGAAATTAACCACAACAACAGAACAGTCACATTCACAAGAATAATCGACTACATGAGCTGACAATCCAAGACATACGAATTTCAAGATTTAGGTAACAACTAATCAGAAACAAGGACAAATGTTTCCCCCTTGCCTTGCTTACTTTATGCTATACATCATTTTGTTGTTCAATTCATGTTGAAAAGAAAAGCAATAATTTTCTCTTTGCACAAATGTATGCCAAGGTTAACATAATGCAAAAGGCAGTAGTGTCACTTTTTTGTAAAACTTGGCACTTGAAACACGGGGGTAATTGCTTATTTTCCTGACAAACTTTTCTCTTACAGACATTTCTCACATTTTTTTTACAAATCCATAATAACAAAAAATAAAAATCATACTAATAATGCCTTAGTCAGTGTTAAATAATACGATAACCAGTTGTCAATAAAATATATCCAAACAAAGCAAATTACAATGTTGTGGTCTATATATAGTTTAATTATTCTCCTGATGTACACGCCAGTTGAGCCAAATTGATTAGATAAGCATACAATATGTTATTCGGTATTTTGAAAAAAGTTACCACTTTCCATGGTTTGAGGTCCAAGAATTGATCTAATTAAAAACGTTGGTGGGGGTTACTTCTGATTGACATCATACATACAATTACCATGCTTCAATATAAACAATAAGGTCTCTATATTACCTTGAGCAAGTAAATCACTTTGAACATCACCATCATAATTCTTACAAGCCCAAACATATCCCCCTTCACTCTTGAGTGCATATGCAACCATGTCATCGATAAGCCTATGCTCATACCTGAAGTCACTCAAATGTCAACCATCAATGTATAGATGTAATGCATAAAAAAAAATTGGCTTATGAACATCAAAACAAACCATATTGAGTGTTCTTCAAACTTTTTCTGCCACCTTTCTTCATAAACCTCCTGAAATATGTCTTTAAATCTGTGTAATAATATCAAACTGTAAGCCATCTCCAATAGAAGCAAATGAGAAGGCTGTCTGAATTAAAGAAAAGTTTTGCATACAAAGGCAACAATTGATAACATGAACTCACACATAGATATAGCAATAATCACCTGCCATCATATTTCTTGAGAATTGTGTTTTTGGTGCTTAAGTAAAGCGGCCACTTCTTTGTAAATGCTAGTGACATGGATGATTCAGCAAATGCTCGAATGGACTGGCATATTAGGAAAACAAGTGGATGAACACAATAAAAAAGAAACAAGCATGTTTTTAAACATGTAGTTAGCATACATCGAAAGTATAAAATGAACAAACCTCATCAACATTATACATAGCAAGAGCTACACCAGGGCCTTTGAAATTATGAACATCAAGCTCCACTGGAGTGTCACCATCTTCTGGGACTGAATTCAAGATAGGAGAAAATGTAAAATACAGTCTAAAACTGATAATTTGACCCCCAAAAAACAACCAACTCCATCAGAAAGCAGGTCGTCGGAAATTAACATACCAAATACCAGCTTAAGCTTCCCAGGTCCATTGATTACTGTATCAGTGGCACGATACTGATCACCAAAAGCATGCCTACCAATACAGATGGGTTTTTTCCATCCTGATAACCGAAAAATAAGTTTCAAATGCTGCTCTGTAGTATTTTAACTTCATTCAGAATCAAAATAGAGCTAAGACATTACCGGGAATAATTCTGGGTATATTGCGGCATATTATGGGCTCACGAAATACAGTACCTACAATAAAAGGGAAAATATATCATAAAAGTAAAAATTTAAAGATATCACAGGACTTTTTTTCATTCAGATATTAATATTCCCTATCACAGGATCAGTATCTTTGTCAGATGTAATAGATAACCGCATCATAATAGATAGAATAGAAATAGGATAAATTTCTCATACATTTGCATGTATGTTCTAAAAATAAGTAATCAGATGTGAAAATCATGCAAGTAAAATATATAAAACTACACACAGCTGTATCTCTAATCTCTGCATACCAATATCTCTTCCAATATAGTAGTATATATGCACATAAATGCACCTAAAATAAAACATATGGGGGAACTGGCATTGGCACACAGTAAGGGAAAGGACTAACATCACTAATTTGATGCATGCATTCAATAACATGTGAATATAACAAACCATTTAAAATGTTCCTTATTGTGCCATTGGGGCTTCTCCACATAGACTTCAGTCCAAATTCTTTGACTCGGGTCTCATCTGAAAATTCAAAATAGAGTTCAGAACTTCAGATACTATTATTTTGTAAAAGAAAAATTATAAACAAATCAAGAGCATGAACTAGAGTCCACTTGCCATGTACTATGTAGGATGTTCTATAATATGATTTAAACTCGTGAGTATGGCACTAAGTCAAATGACTCATGATACAGAGCATTACATCTATTTAAAGCCCAGTACAACTTACCAGGAGTTATGGTTGCACATTTCACAGCAACATTGTACCTGAAGCAAATAGAAGTTTCATTTAACAAATGGGAATTTTTGTTTATAAAACTGAGAGAGGGAATGGCAGCAGGATAAGAAACCCTCTGAAGTAAAAAAGGAACAGGAGATACATTAATGAAAAACAAAGGTAAAATTGCAGTGAAGCTGCACAGTCCCAATACAAGCATGTAACTTATGGCAAATTCCTTGAAACAGACATTGGCAGAGCATCACATGTTTGCGGGACAAAACATAATTCTTGCAATCCGAATTAAAAAGACATTAAATATGCAAGTTCTCCACTACAACAGAATCTACCAACAGATTACACAAAACAAACACTCCCATAACTTTTTTGGTTCCTCTCTTTCGGTAAATGGTCAAAACAAAACCAGTAAACCTAACCTGCAAAATGCAGCTAAAGCAGGAGGACAGGGACAAAGCTTATTGGATTTTTAGTTATGGTGATTGATGTCTTGTATCTTTTTAGGCGTTTTGTTTAGGGTTTTTGCTTTATTGGATTTTCCGTTATGGTGATGATTGACGTCGTATTTCATTTTAGACGATTTATTTAGGATTTTTGCTTTTATTGGATTTTCCGTTACGATGATTGATATCGTAAATCTTTTTAGACAATTTGTTTAGGGTCAAAAGCAAAAACCCTAAACAAATCACCTAAAAATATATACAACATTAATTACCATAACAGAAAATACAACAAGGAAAAAACGCTAACAGCTTCCCCGGGTAAGCCATAACTTAACTTCTCAAACAACTTCAATGAAACTAAATAAGCAGCATTACTTGGCTATCAATTCTCACCATATCAAGAAAATCTATCTACTTGTATTTTTTATACCTTTTAATTAACAGACCTAGCTACACCTTCTAATCTAACATTCTCAGCGAAACCACAAATCACTAATAGTAAAATAAAAAATAAAATACCAATGCATGTTATAATATCATGGTTTGATGTTTCCATTCATGAAAAAAAATCACTGACTTGAGAGTAGCTTCCGCGCTTTCGACAGTCACTCTATCGTCAGTAGCATCGCGATTTTCAATCCCCAAATCAAAATACTTTATGTTTAGATCCAGGTAAGGAAATATAAGCTGCATTCACATTAAATATAAAAAAATAAAATAAAATAAAAAATCACTCATTAATGTAAAATGAAAATCACAAATAGTCTATCTAGCACGAACTTGGATTGCCGGTAGCAACAATCCCTCACATTTATGTAGTTACCATGCCAGTTATTGGACCGTCCAAATTTCAATGCACATTTTTAAATTCAAAAACAAATTAAATACCGAACTTAAAATCTAGCTGTCACCTATGCTTTTACAGCGTAAATGTAAATGTGTAGGACTACTAACTGTAGGCAATCCAAATTCTAATTTTTTTTAATAAGTAAATGTAAATGTGTAGGACTGCTAACTGTAGGCAATCCAAATTCTAATTTTTTTTAATAAGTAAATGTAAATGTGTAGGACTGCTAACCATAGTCACAATCTCACGCATTAAAACACTCAATGCATCAAAGATCTTTGGATTGGGATTGAGCTGTCTAAATTTCAATGTAGATTTTAATTTTTTTAAAAATCTAAGACACCGTGCTTGAACGCAGGACCATCAGATCTCAATCCAACGGTCACTGATTTGCTGACCAGTTAATGTATGGAGTTACTAACAGTAGACAATCTAAAACCATCAAGCTGTGTGTCAGGGTGTCATACACATACAAAACATTAACACATATAAATACATTAGATCGCTTTCATTTTCTTAAACTATATTACAGGTGTTTAAGTGTCTATGTGTGCTTTTTAGCAGATAGAAAACCATCAAATAGTCTACCCACACGAATTTGAATCACCCATATTCATAATCTCACATTCTAATCTCAATCGAACAGTTGCATATTTGCTGAGGGGGTAAATGTGTGGAATTACTAACAATAGGAAATCTAAATTCATCAAGCATCGACACTTCAGGATGAAGATGCATCCGAGGGTCGTACACACATCTAAAACATTGGTACATATAATTACATTTTCTTGAACCAAAGTGTCTATGCATGCTTTTTAGCAGATAGAAAACAATCAAATAATTTAACAAAGCAATAAAAAGTGATATTAATAAGAATGCATCAATTCATACTTTATCCTTTATCATCGTCCACATAATCCTGGTCATTTCATCACCTGCAAAGCAAAATAATAATGATATTAACAAATCAATAAATAAAAAACGGTGTGAAGTGAATTAACGAACTGTGAGGAAGAGAGGGAGAAAGAGAGGCTACCGTCCATTTCGACGATGGGATTGATGACATGAATGGGACGAGAAGCGAAGCATCGAAAGGAGATACGATTGCGATTGTTGGAAAACGAAAGAGAGTGAGGAGGAAGGGAGAGTTTTGAAGAATGCGGTGATGAAGTTGAAGGGAAGAGGAAGTTAGGGTTTCCGAGAGAAGAAATGGAAGAAGTAGAAGAGAACATTTTGGTGGTGGTGGTGGTGGTGGTGGTTAATCGAAAGAATGATGGTGATGCTCTCAACATAACTTCCTCTGTGGGTTTTGACTTTGGTTAATCCTTTCTGCTTGATGCGACTTAGATTATGCCCCCCGGTCTTTCGTGAAACCCTCCAACTCATCGATTTGATTTCATAATTACAATATTTGTCATTTCCTCCTTAATCTGGTTAATAATATTATTTTTTTAAATTTAAATGAAATAGAAAAAAAAAAATGTTCGAGTTGATTTGATTCATTGTCGATCATATCTATAGCAAATGTAAATGTTGAGAAGTCAAAAGATGAATAAGATTTGAAAGAGCAAAGTATCATGAAGATCAAAGGTGGAAATCAAGTCATCTATGAGGTTTCGTTTAAAAGAAAATTATGTTGATGTGATTGATATGCAAGTGGGTGAAAATGAAAGAAGAAGATAATATAGGAATATAGTTATATGGCTTAGTGAAAATAAGGATGAGGAAGTTGAATCTCAGAAAAATAATGCTAACGAAGAGGATGATGAGGTGGAAGGAATGATAATGGAGGATTGTAGTATATGATATTATGATTGTCTAACTTTTATTTTCTTTGAATTAAAAGAGAAACTAATCTGTTGTCCAAGGAGGAGAGAGAGGTAATTATGAAGATGTTGGGATAAAGAATTCGATATAAGGCGCTAGAAACGAGGTTGAAGAAAATGTGGGTTCGAAAAGGTGTAATCGGTATTATTGATTTGAGTCATGATTATTACGTTGTAGTTTTTATGCATGAAGATGATAAGAATGTGGCGTTATCGACTGTACCTTGGTTCACATATGATCACTACCTAACATTAAATGAATGAGGTCCTAATTTCCATCCGACAAGTAATACAATTGAGAATATGGCTATTTGGATTTAGATATCGAGATTACATATAGAATACTATGATGTAAAGGTATTATTTTTCATTGGCGTGTCGGAAGAACAATGAAAGTTGATAAAAAAAATACTTTACAATAGTAGTGTGAGAAATATGTTAGGTTATGTGTTGAAGTTAACTTCACTAAGTCGTTTCTAGCAACGTTTACCATAAAAATGAGGAAGTGTAATGTTGAGTATGAAGGTTTGCATTTGATGTGTATCAATTGTGGCAAGTTTGGTCATTACAATGAATGATGTCCTAATAAACCTAAATGTCAGCTATATACTGGTGAACTTTCAAAGAATCGTGATCAAGTAATGTTAGGAGGAGATGTATGGTTAAGTTGGGTGATAGTGAAGTGGATGGTTCCTTAAGGGTTGTTTAGAAGCAAATAAGAGTGAGTGGGTGATGGGTAGAGGAACATAGGTCCAACAAAAACAATGAGAATATGACATTAAAGAGATCGAGATGTGTTTCCTTAAGTGATGAAATACTTGAAGTTATTACATATCCTATTTTTAATGAGGAAGTCGTTTTGATTTTGAATAACAGTAGCATTATTAATGCGCGTGCAAAATTTAAGCAGTGGGGAAAGGGGGAAAAAAGAAAATTATGTAACAATTAATTCTAAAGGGGCAATCATTCAAGAAAAATTGGTCAAGGATGTTAAATTGGCCATATGTGGAACAAATACATTTAAGGGGAAGGTCGATGCGACTATTAGAAAAAGGATGGAAATTATGGTGGAAAGAACGAATTAAATAATATGGACAAAATTATTTAGGTGCATTTCTAAAATCCTAATGATAAGAAGGTTGGAGACAATGAGAGGTAAAGAATTATGGAACATGTTTTGAGTTATCAACAAATTATTGGGGTGCAAGAAGTCGTGGATATGGGGTGAGACTACGAGGCTTTCTTAATTGAGTCGAATTAGGCTAGCAACTTGTTAGCTCCCGAATTCGACTCCTACTTTTTAAATAATGAAACAATAAAGAGAATTACGTGAAATAATGAGAGGATTTTGACAAAGGTTATGGACTTGTTTGTTTTGGTCGAAACTGCCCTTTTGCGTAAGGAGGATATGCTGAATAAGATGTGAAGAAAAATATTTTAAATTCTTAGAAGGTGGTTCGACAGAAGATGATGATGTTGTTTCGACGTGTGATTTGAATTTAAATAAAGGAGGAAACTTTTATTCTTATCCAGATTTGTAAAGAAAGACACGTGGAGCTTTCCTAAGGAAAGGAGACAGGTTGACCGCCACTTTTCATTTGTTTGTAGGAAGACCGTTATGGTCGACTATTTTTTATCATTATAAATGAAGGGTCTTAGTGTTAGGATCATGTGTGTTCAAAATTGTACAAAGTTTCTGAAATTACTCAAAGTATTCGTGTGTAGAGAAAGAGTGTGTCGAAGAAAATGTACGTTTGACAAACACCATACTTTTTACAATTTAATGAGAATTTCATCTTTTACCATAGAGTTTATCTTTTTATCGCTCAAGTTATCTTTCAATGCATTTAATTGCTTTTGATTAAGTTTCTGAACTTTACTTCCTTTAAATTTCTAAGTTGATAGTTGTTAGATCATGAGTATTGTTGAAACATTCATCATTTTCCAAACTTTAAATTGAGAATTACTAGCACATGTCTTAGGATTTGTGTGGTTGATCCTGTACGTAACTGTTGGAGCGGTAAAGCGGCAAGTAAAAATATTATTTTTGGAAGAATTTCCTCCGGGATTTATGTCGTCTCCACAAGGATCGGTGCAAGGGAAAGAATGTCGTTCGACAATCTCCACGTCTCTAAGCTTGGGTTTAAATGGTTTGGGATAAAAATGCAAAAGGAAAAACATATAACAAGAAAATAAATACATTCTTAAGAAATGAGAAAACTCGTTAGGAGTTGTATTTCGTTCTACCCATCATGCACTAAAAAATATATGGATCAAATGCGCGCAACCTAAATCGCTCGTCAATATCATCATGTATCACTCACAATAGAGGTTATGTCTAACACAAAATTGAGAGATCAACCGTATCGTGTCATTGGCGATGTCTCATGCAACTCGACAACACGGATTATTAAGAATCGATACCCACGTGAATATTAGTCTTAAATCTATGTCTAGAGTTTAGAATCTAACAGATGTTCATCTTAGATCGAGTTTGAACCGTATATGTCTATAGCAATCCAAACTCATTAAGTAAAAAATCAAGATAACCATCGATAAAGAGTTGTAAAAGAGATTTTATACAAAGATCCATAAATATACATACAATCAAGATAAACTTACAAACAAAATCCCAACAAATGAAAAATACATAGAGAGGAAGGAAGAAGAACACAAATCTCACGGCCTGTCAACTCCAATTGAAGTGCATTCGACTCCGGATCGTCAAGATGCACCCTCCAATGTTGTTTCTAAGCTAAATCTACTCAAGAATGTGTTTAATGAAGTTGGGGTAAAAAGTTCCAAAGCAACATCACCTAAAAAATGCTGAAAAATCACTTAAATAGGCAAAAATAGGTTCTAGTGTTCGCCTAGCGAAGTCCTGTTCGCACAACGAACTTATGCCTCATTTTCTACTGTCAAAACAATGTTTTTCACGCGTTTTAGAAATTCCTGTTTGCACTGCGAACTTTTGTTCGCTTAGCGAACATGACAGCAAAACCAGCACTTGTTTTGTCCATAACTTTTAAACCGTAACTCTGTTTTAGGCGCGGTCGGAAGCGTTGGAAAGCTTATTCAATGCTCTATAAGACAATGACAAAATATCATAGCTTATATACCTACAAAAATGAGAGAAAAGCAATTAAACTCAATCATATTTACATGATACACAATATATACATTATAACATAAGCTATACAACATATGCACAAAAGTTGAGGTTTATTGGTTGAATTAAACCAATAAGTGCCAATTATTTACACTCAAAATCAATACAATTTAGCACTTATCAACTCTCCCCAACTTAAAATTGTTTGTCCTCAAACAAGAATCAATCAACTCAAGGAAACAAAAGTAACAATCAAGCAATCACGACTCAACAAGTTTCGAAAAACAAAAAACAAATGTATGGTTCAACACAAAAACGTACATGCAAAGCAATATATACCACTAAACTACAACGATAACATGAAAATGAAACAACTCCTAAATACAAAACACATGTCAAAAATTCTAAGACAATACAATTTTCAAAAATGAATCGCACCTAGCACACACTTCATCGATAGATGAATAAAAAAAACATTAGGGGCTTAACTCTCACCCAACAATCAAGCCAATAACAAGTTAAATTATGCATTTATCAAGAAAAAAACTCATATTGAACAGTATAAAAGCAAAAATCACAAGGGCTTTAAGGGTTATAATGTGGCTTGAGTAACAAATAATTGTTTTTCTCAAGGTAAAACAAACAAAAACTTGCCTAATCAAATGAGAGTGATCATTTCTCACAATCTCAAGCACTCACAAATTCCAATCACCTTTTTCTCTTTTCCAAATTGTTACACTATTCCACACAACTTATTAGCATAACATTATTCTATTTTTTTTTCTTTTTTTCAATTCTTTTCCCTTTCTTTTTTCTTTTCTTTCTTTTTCAAACTTTTTCTTTTTCTCAACCTCTTAACAACCAACCTCTTCTCCCCAACTTGAATACAACCACACACAGTGACATGAATGCTCCCAAACTTATTAGGCAAGGGTAAAAACTCAAATAACAAGTCATGATTATAGTTCAAGAAAAAGTATTAGAATCCATACAAAAATGAACTTAACACCAATATGGATTCTAACAAAGGCTCAAAGGAGGTAAGCAAATTCTCACTCACTTACAAGGTAGATTGACTATTTGGTCAAGTGGATATGCTCAAAATCGAACAAAATGCCTTGATCATTTTAGTGCTATGATACAAATCAACACAAATACAAGATTAAACATAATAAAACCAAGTTAAACAAGAATGTTGGTCTCCTGCATATACTAAACAACGGAAAACTCATCACAAAAAGGTTTTGTTTTAAAGTGATTCAAAACTGAACAAGTATAGCAAAAAAATGAATGACATGAAAATTGTACAAATGAAAAGTCTCATAATCATGCTATGTTCTAGAAAGCGATAAACGAG